ATGTGTTATCACATTATCCTTTGGATTAGGTATCTCTACCTCTCCTTCCACGCCTTCTTCCAAGTTTTATCACTACATTTTTCCTCTACCATCTAAACCGTAGGGTGAGCATGTATGACGTATAATACAATTAGTTTGTCACTTTACTTTGCATTGCTAAAGCAACGCCAACTCAAATTATAATATTACACCAAATTAGAGCATTTGTGTATTTACTTAAACGATTTTGTTTTTATTTTCTATTATTGTCACATATCTTGTTCCTCTAAAATGTGCTATGAACTCTAAATCTTTTTGCATTTGTTTCGTATCTATTTTTGGTTTAAACAAAGTTCGTGCATTTTGATTTTTCTTTAATGAGGTATATTTGAGTATGTTTGTAAGACAAAAGAGATTTTCTTTTTAGGATTCAAATTCTATTTTTTATTCATATCTTATCTAATTCACTTGACGCTAACGTGAGTTTAACTTATTTTTTCTATAATCTCAAATTATTTGTTGTTATTTATATTATTTTGTGATTGTATAGTTGCAAAGAGAAATGGATATTGTCGTATATGGTGACGGTGCGACTATGTTTAGAGATGAAGAATTGGAAGACATAAGTGAGATTGAAAGCGGGCCAAATTTTGTTGAAATTAAGTGTTTATTGAAAAGTCAAAACCATGGCGAGCAAGTTTGGAACCTTAAGGTTTTTCTTGAAGGAAAACTTGAAATTAACTACGACTGTGTTCCTGACTGTCAAGAAGGTAAATGAAATTAAAAATAAAAATATTTTTCATTTACATTTACATTTATCTCTACCATGTAACTTTAAGATGTGCTTTTTTAAACTCTAACAAACTAGTTGAGGCATTTTTTTAAGTTTATTTTTTAGCAATTTATAGAATAAAGTTTCATATTCAAATTATCTAATTACGTAAGACTAAATATTGATCACGTACAATACATGTGCACCTTTTCTAATTGTATACGTAGTGTTCACCTTATACTTAAAAATTAAATTTCAAAGTTTTAATATTGTTGTCTAATAATTTATTTCCTTTTGTATTTGGTTGCTAAGAAAACAATAAAGGCAATTTGAAATCTTTTCAAAGACGTCAAATATTCATTTCATTTCCTTTTCTTTCTTGTTGTGTAATATCTATGTTTTTCAACTTTTGTTAATTAGAAATAAATATTAATGAGAAATTTTGTTTTTCATTGTTTAAAATTAGTAGTAATTGATATAGCCATTGAATATGACTGTTGCCCTTTTGAAATTTGAATTTCTAATTGTAAAAATTCTTTATATATTTTGAGACTTTCCTCTTAACATTTTTATATAAATAATTTATCATTATGTTTTTCATTTAGATTTGTCTCCACCATATAACCTTAAGGTGAGTTTTATGTATGTCTTGGTAGATGTGTATTTTTTATTATTTTTTCTTTTTTCATTTTTTCATAATATCAAATACAATTAATTTATTCTACTAAAATTATCTAATTATTTAAGACAAACACTTAGTAAATATTGATCACATCAAATGCACATGCACACTTGCTCATTGCATATGTAGTGTTCAACTTAGAATTGGAAATTAAATTTCAAAATTAATATTGTGGTCTAATAATTGAGTTCATTTTGTGTTTGGTTGCTAAGAAGACAATAAAAAAAATTTTGAAATCTTTCCAAGTCTCCAAACATTTATTTCCAAAACTTGAACATTTTCCTTCTCTTTCTTGTTTTGTAATAATAGTGTTTTTCAACTTTTGTTAATTAGAAGGAAACATTAATGAGGAGTTTCATTTTTCATTTCTTGAAAGTAGTATTAATTGGTATAGTCATTGAATATGACTGTTACCCTTTTGAAATTTGGATTTCCAACGGTCAAAATTTTGCTCTATATATTCGGAGACTTCATTTCTAAAATTTTTATATGAAACAATTGATCACTACATTTTTCTTCACCATCTAACCTTAAGGTGACCATAGTATGACGTATATTACAAATAGGTTGCCACTTTACTTTGTGTTGCTGAAGCAAGACAAACTTAAATTGTAATATTACACCAAATTAGAGCATTTGTGTATTTACTTAAATGTTTATATATATTTTTTTTTTCTATTATTGTTACGTATCTTGTTCCTCTGAAATGTGCTATGAACCCTAAATCTTCTTATATTTATTTCATATCCTTTTGGTTTTTATTTTCCTATTTTTGGTTTAAACAAAGTTCATGCATTTTTTGTTTTTCTTTAATGAGGTATATTCGAGTACGTGTGTAAGCCAAATAAGATTTCTGTTTAGGATCCAATTCACTTGACGTTAACATGAGTTTTACTTATTTTTTATATAATCTCAAAGTATTTGTTGTTATTAATATTATTTTGAGATTGCACAATTGCAAAGAGAAATGGATATTGTCGTACATGGTGATAGTATGACCATGTTTAGAGATGAAGATGTTGTAGGAAAAATAAACTGTGTATGAAAAAGACTTAGATTTAAAAAACAAGAAAAAACATAACAAAGAGGCAAGACACATCCAGGATGCTTTCTTTAAGACAGTAATTTCCCCTCTATTATACAAAAAGGACTCTTGGAATGCAGGATACAATGCCTATATTCAGAAAACAACACTAAGGTTGTATTCCTTAGCTATTTTTTGAACTAGAACCTTAACTCTGAAAATCAAAAACTAAAACAAAGAAGGTAAACAACCAGTATCTATGGGCTACTGGAGAGAATTCCTTTTATGGAACTCGAATAGGCACCAACACAGAAGAGACAAGTCCTTCCTTATAGACACTCTCTGAAATTCAAACGTTCAAACTTGGTCCAACGTCCATAAACCGATAATCGGTTAGCATTCGAATTTGAAATCTTTAACTGTCTGTTATTCAAACAATCTTAAATTGTTTATTTGAAGATTTTATTTATTTATTTTTTCTTTATATATATTATATACATTTATCAAAAGAACTAGAAGTTTCATCTCGTGGATATCTTCAAAGGAAGACCTCCAATGGAAACTTGAATGAATATGGAAAGTCCTTCCTCTATTTATAGTAGATGAGAGGACATTCATTTGCTCAAGATTTTAATGTGGAAACCAAGCTAAAAATTGAATTCCAAGTGCATGGAGGGAAAACGAAATATTGAATTCCCTCCAAAGTGAAAGTTTAGAGATTCCTTTAGATTCCAATGTGGGATTCAAGAAAGGAAGCAAATATAAACATATGGAGATTATTATTGTTATTAGTAAATAATATATAAACGCGGAATTGAGAGATATAAGTGAGGTTGAAAGAGGGCCAAATTTTATTAAAGTTAAGTGTTTATTCAAAAGTCAAGACCATAGCAAGCAAGCTGGGAAGCTTAAAGTTTTTGTTGATGGAAAACTTCATATCAACTCTGACTGTGTTCTTGGCTGTCATGAAGGAAAGTGATCTCTCTCTCTCTCTCTCTCTCACTCTCTCTCTCTCTCTCATTTTGCTTTTTTGGTTTATTTCTCTCTGCCCCTCTCCACTATAGCAATATGCAAGAACTAAATTGAACTTCCCGAGCTTGAATGGAGCTTTCAGTATATCCATGGTACAATATCTCTCAAAACCCTGAATTGATTGAGTTCTCTCAAAACCCTAAAATGATTTTGTGTTCTCTTTTGATCCCTTCTTTCCCTTTCTTCTTCATCATAGCTTCTCTCTAAAACCCTAAATTCATTTCATTTTTTATGGTTTTTTTATTTATTTATATAAACCTCATATTTATGAAGAAGATGAGGCATCTGATGTGTGTCCTTTGTTAGTTTCAATTTGTTATTTTTTCCTTCCTTTTTCATTGAAAGAGAAAGTGTAGTTGCGTTCAATACCATGTGTTGTGTCCTTTGTTAGTTTCAATTTGTTATTTTCTCCTTCCTTTTTCTTTGAAAGAGAAAGTGTAGTTGCGTTCAATACCATGTGTATCTTTTTTTCTTTTTTCTTTTTTCTTTTTATATTTTCTTTCATAAAATGGATTTTTTTTTTGGGGGAATGGATTTTTTTTTTCTTTTTTTGGGAATTAACAGTTTAGTGTATATTTGTAAAAGAAAAATTCAAATTAGTGATAAATTTTACTAATTAAAATCATATACTTTTCGATGAGTTGTTTGGGAAGAAAACACTGATTTATAAATTCCCCAAATTATTTTTATTGTTATCCCTCAGTTTCTCTCTCCAAAACTTATCAAGCTGTGCTCAACCATGGAGACAAAGTGTGTTGTAATTTCCACAATTTGACGTGGATCATTGCGCCTGTGTTTGGGAGGGGATGTATCACTTTAGATCCCTAAGGTATCAGATACGTTTCTCTCTCTAGAGTTCTATTTTTTAATTTTGCTTGTTACTTTAACATCTAAATTGCTGAGAAAGAAAACATGTTTGTTTTCTTGTTTCAAGTACTGTTGAGCTTGTGAAAAATGAAAAATAAATATATAAATAAATAAAAGGGTAAATTACAAATACACCTTAAGATTTGCTTAAAATACGAATTACTCTTGTGGTTTGAAAAATTACAAATACTTCACTGTAAGAATTTTTTATTTAACAAAATTAATTGAAAAAGTAAAATTTCTAACTATTTACCTATACAATAATAGAATTATCTGAATTATTAATTGAAATAAAATTTTAACATTATTAAAAACTGTTAATTAACTTGATAATTTATTAATAAAAGGACCTATTTACTATGAAATTAGAAATCTTAGGAGCCATAATGTAATTTCTAAATCCACAAGGGACAATTTGTAATTTAAGTAAACCTTAGGGGACGTGTTTGTAATTTACCTATAAAAAACCGTCAATTTTGTTGTATTTTTTTTGGCTCGATTTTTCTATCTTCATGAATGTCTCCAGTGCTTTTAGAATTCCATGCTCTTGTTGTATGATCTGCAGGTAGAAACTATAAAAATGAGAGTAAAAAAATAAAAATAAAAAATAGGATAATTTTTCTATAAATCTTAGTTTTAGAGGGTAACTTTTAAAAATCTGGGTATAATTTCTTCTGTCATGATATCATTCTTTTTTTTTTAATATTCTAATGTTCTTCATTTTGGATATTTAGACTATATCTTAGTTGCATCAAGCCCTTTTCTCTTTGTCAAAGCTTTAAAAAAAAAAAAAAAAAACCTCTTTAGATTTTTAATATTTTTTGGCTTTATATATTTGTGTTGTCAATTTTCTTTTTTGGCGTTTTGAATTTTGTTGGGATTTTTTTGTTGGTGTTTTTTTTCCCCCTTCTAATTGTGCAGGACTATGTGATTTTCCTGTTTTGTTTTCTATATTTGATAATTCAATGTTATCAATCTTATTTTATTCTTACTTCGTTAGTCACTTCAGTTCTTATGAATTTCGTTAATGTTGTTTCTTTTGAATATTGATCTCATAATTAATTATTATCCTGATCTTTTTTTCTTTGATAATACAGAGGAAAATACAATTTATTTTGATAGGCACAACTTCCATCACAATCAAATATTCATCCCGCTTTAGAGGTAAACAATTTCTTGTTCATTTCTTAATCTTAGACTTATATTTTCTAATGAAGGAGAGGAATCAACTTTGAACAAGATATTGTTTCCACTGAAGTTTCTATTTTACCAAGTCAGTGATCCTTGTCGATTATATCGATACAATATATATAAACCATGGATGAGTTGTGAATAGTATTTTCAGCCAAAGTATGAACCGTGTTTTCATTCTTTCTTATTTCTTTATTTACTTCCTTCTTTTTCTTTTTTCCATTTTGAAGGATCGTGTTGTTGTTTTGGTATTTTGCTTCATTATGTTCAGGTAATAAAGGTTTCAATTGTTATGTTATTATTTCCTTTACATATTCCTTTATTTGTTTATTTTTGTTTTTTGTTGGTAGTTTAAAATATTTATTGGACAAGAGTTTCGTTTTCTATTTTTTTATTTCTCTTTTGTTCTCCGTTTGTGGAAGTATTAATTTTGTATATCATTTGAAGTTAAGCTTACATCATTTTAGGAAGGTTTAGTGACTATCATTTTTCTTTGTTTTGATTGTTACTTATTGCAGTATTTTGAGGTTTATTTGTTTTGATTTTTGTTTATTTTAGTAGTTTTAGGTTTTAGTTTTATTTTTTTCTATTTTTTGTTTATTGTAGTAGTTTTTTTTTTAATAGTAATTTTTGGTTCAGTGAAATCCCTAACCTACTGAAATATTATGTAGTAGACAAACCTGTTTTTTTTTTTTTTTTTAACTAGGATGTTTTATTATAGGGTAAATTACATTTACCTCCCCTGAGGTTTCTGACAAATACAGAGACCTCTCTTGTGATTTGAATAATTACAATAACCTCTCCTACTTTACCTGACAATACCAAGATTTCCCCAATCTGTCAATTTTGCTCAAACGACGTTATTTGCTTATACAAAATGACCATATTACCCATTTACTTGAGCACAAAAAGACAAAAATACCCTTCAATATTTTTTTAACCCAATAATTTATATTGATCCTTTCCCTTCTTCCATTTACCAATCTAAACCCTCTGAAGAAATAAGAGAGAAAGAGAGAGAGAGAGAGAAGCTCTTCTTCACCAGTGCCCCTTCTCTCCACCGTCTACCACTGCCGTCTTTCCTTTTCCTCCTCTTCTTCTCCCTCCACTCCCTTTCCGTTGTCCATCGCTTACGGATTTGGGTTGACCGATGATGGCAGCAGCGTTGACCGATCTGGGTTTGTGACGGTTGGTTGCGATCTTGGTCACGATTGAAAGAAGAAAAAAAAAAGAAGAAGGAGAGGAAGAGAGACGGGAGACGAACGACGGGAGAATGAAATGGGGAAGATGGCATCAATTGATAAAAATGGAGCATTATCTCTTTTTGATTGCAAGGATGACAATGGTGGGCCTAAGATTGGGATAGTGTTGAAGAAACAGGAAATATAAGTTTTGCACACCAAGCATTTTGGTAGTGATTGATAGATGCAAAAGTTCATAAATCTTGCTGACTTGCTTTCTATTCCTTTTTTCTTCTTTGAAACCAGATTTCATTGATTTTTGTTTAAACCATACTTTTTTCTTCTCTTGCCTTCTCAACCATTGATTTTTGTTTAATCCATACAGTTCCATTGTTACAATAGAACAGATTTATGAGCTTTATTTATTGTTGCTTGTAATGAAAAAGGAACTGAACATGATTGGCTTTATTCTTTTGGATTCGTTTTCATTAATTTTCATTTTCTTTGGCATGATGGTTCACAATACATTATAGATGCCAAAATCTGGACCAACTGAAACCCAATTTCATTATTGGGTTGCGGTAGATATGGACCATAGTTCTTTGAAATCTATTGGGTTATTTCTAATCTTTGAACAATGAATCTGTTTGAGAAGCATTTTATTTGAATTTTACTTTTATTGCCTGTGTAGCATGCATTCTTTGATTTTATTTTATTTTTTAAAAATTAATTTAGTTTATTTTTTATTTTTCATGTTAAATCTGGATGGCCTAATAATATGAATTTACAAATTTGTATGTATATGCTAAGGCCATTCTAGTTGTTTCTGTTTGCTGCATATTATAGTTCCCAAATATTATGAATTGTTACTTCTGCGCAGAGACAAATCATGCTATTATGAAGTCTACTAGTTCTTACAATTTTTGTATAAATTTAATGTTGTGTTTGGAATGGATAATAAGGAGATGGAAGTGGTAAAGATTAGAGAGAGAGAGAGAGATGTGATGACAGTAATGCTACCAGTGGAGGAGTGGGAGAGAAGGGAAAAGAAGAAGAGCAATGTTTGTTTGTGATGTTGTGGGTTGTTTGGTTACAAGGAACAAAGGGTAATTTTGGTATTCAGTCACCATAATATGCTGATGTAAGAAATTTTCATCACCTGTCTAACGACTAGTTAATAGAAGGGTGGTTTGTATATATTGTCAGGTAAAGTAGGGGAGTCACTGTAATTATTCAAACCACAGGGGAGGTCCCTGTATTTGTTAGAAACTTCAAGGGAGGTAAATGTAATTTACCCTTTATTATACCTATGAGATTATACGTATTTGATTATACTTTGGTGTTGGGATTTGTTTTGGGCAACAAAATTTCACTTTCATTGTTATTCAAGTTTTTAATTGGTGCGGTGTGGTCGCATCTCATATCCGAAACTGGTGCAGCCTGCATAGCTTTGCATAACAAGGGACATCAAACTGTAAAAAAGAAATTTTATTTTATTGCAACCTCCAGCATGTCTAGAGGTATTGAGGTGGTGTGTGCACAGCAATGTGAAGGCAACTATTATACCTACAGATTGCCGTCCATTAGTTCAGAGTATTAACGAAAGAAAAGCAATGGAGTGGGATATGGAACACCATTTGATGGATATATGTCATTTTTGTAAACAGTATGCATGACTAAACTAAGGTACCTAGACAAAGTACAGGCTACACATATAGCCACATTTGTCTGCATATATTTTCCAACTCTAGCTTTAATATGTTTGCAAATTTCAACTCGAAACAAAAATCTAATGGGGACATTAGTAAGCGTGCTTTGCACGCGGCCCCCTCCCTAATACTCAATTGTGTGTCATGACTCCTTGTATCGCAAGTGCAATTATGTAAATTTTCTAGTATTTTACTGATGGACAGATTTTGATTATGACTATCCGTGTAATTTTTTCTTCAAATAGTAGAACTAACACTTACATTAGGGATCTTAAATAAATTATCAAATTTTTTATTAAACTTCTCACATGAGTCTAGGACCTATACAGATGTGGGTTTGTGTGGGTCTTACACCCATATGAGAGTTTTGATAAAAAAATTTGATAAATTATTTGGAGTCTATAATATTTTTCTATTCCAAACGTGGTAGAAAGTGTAATTTATCTTACACAATACCCATAATTTGAAGTGTAAAGTAATTTTTTTTTTTTTGGGGGGGGGGGCAGCAAGAGATAATTACAAAAATAAATAAATCTGGATTTGACCGTTTTAATAAAATAAGTCTGCATTTTTAATTGTATTAATTTAAATCTTAATTTTGATTTATTTTAAAACCGTTTGTCAATTTTTGTTAATTAAATTTATAGTCATTAAACTCAATAAAAATAAGTATTTTAGACATTTCATTGAGTTTAATAATTAAAATATCTGTTTTTCTTTCGATTTTACTTAACAAAAATAAAAAAATGATTCAAATTAAAATCAAATCAAAAATTCAAAATTTAAATAGATAAAATTAAAATTTTATTTTGTTACAAGGATCAAATCTTAAAATTTAATTAGGTTGTTTGGTTTGGATTTTTAAGATCCACTTTTTAGAAAACTAAAATTTTTTCGTTTTTAGTATTTTTTTTGGTTTGTTTTTATTGAATTTTTTTAGCATTCTAAGCAATTTTTAAAATTTTTAAATACACCTAATATAAATACACTTAAAAAGTATAATATTTGGGAAAAAAATCTTTAAAAAATTTACTAAATACTAAAAATATTTATAAAAAAAAGAGAGAATATTCACCAAAAAAAATAGAAAAAATAAAAAAATTAATTTTTTTAAAATTAAATTTAAAAAATTAAAATCAAACACATTAATTATAAGTTTTCTAAAGAATATAGGATTAGTAATACCATTTCCAATTCTCCATCACGTGAAAGTAGAAATTGAAGTGCAATTAATTATTCTGAAATAAAAGAACAAAGGATGAGTAAGACCACTTCCAATTCTTTTATTAAGGTCCAATTTAAGGATAGGTTTAAAATTTTCTACACGTAACTCATAATTAATTTTCTATTTTAAAAATAAATTCCCGTGCATCACACGAGTCACTTACTAGTTATACAAATTACAAAGACTCAAAACCTCTAAAATTATGTCATATCATCCGTTAATACACTAATTGATATACCAATTAATACACATAGTATTATTCAATTTTAATTATCGATTACGTCTGAAATATCGCATGGTATCGTTTCAAACTAAAATTTAAGAGTGACGAAAAATTTAAGAATGTGATATATTCATTTAGGATAATTATGCTCCGTTTGGCAAGGATGTTTGGGGCTATTTTAGCCACAAATGACAAAATAAGTTATTTTAGCCATAACAAATAAAACATCATATCCAACTCATAATCATTATACTCTTATCTCATAAAAAAAACCAAAAAACTCTTCTCAAACCAAGCTTTTTAGCCCAGGCTAAAATAGCCAAAAAAGCCAAAAAGCCAATCCACTTCCCAAACGGAGGCTAAGTGTTTTAGTGTATACTATATGTACTTACATAAGTTCTCACAAATATACGTAAATTACCTCACAAAATCGCATAATTTTTCACAAAAATAAGTAAGTTAACTCATAAAAATTTAAAAAATCACAACTTACATATATTTATGAGAACTTATGCGATTTGGTGAGATAACTCATATACATTTGTGAAAACTTATACAAATATATATGATATGCACCTTACACACCTAAACACTTCCCATTTATTTATTTATTTTGTTAGATAGTTCGGAGATACAAAAATTACTTACTTAGAACTATTTTGAGAAGTTGGCTTTTTAGTCAAATTGTAAAAAACTCACCCCTTGTTTGGGATGAATTTATTTTGCGTAACTTTTTAGTTATTTGGTTATTTTAGCCTAATTAAAAAAGTTATGTTTGAGATAATTTTTACTTTTTTAATTGATTTGATGGTTGTGAGAAAAAAAATAAAATAATTATAATTTAGATATGATATTTTGTTTTATTGACTATTAAGTTTTTTATTTTCATTTTTATTGACTATTTTAACCAATTACATCCCAAATGAGGAAGTTAAATTTAAAAATAAAAAAAAAACTTTTTTACCCATTTTTTTTTATAAAAAATTGAAATTTCAAAACAATTCTTAAGGCATGTTTGGTAAGTGGATTTGGATAGGTTTGGGGCTATTTTAGTCACAAAAAACAAAATAGGTTATTTTAGTTATAACAAGCAAAACATTACATCCAACCTATAATCATTACACTATTCTTTCACAAAAAAAGTCAAAAAAATTAAAAAATCAAAAAGCCCTTCCCAAACCAAGCTTTTTAGCCCAGGCTAAAATAGCCAAAAAAGCTAAAAAGCCAAAAAGCCAACCCACTTCCCAAACGGAGGCTTAATATTTTAAAGAATATTTGGCTATGACCTTATATAAAATTATATTTTGTAAGTACTACCACGGGAGTCTCACGCCTTGGGGGATTTAAATAACCACTAGCTTCTGTTTGGTTACTTTGTGGCCCTCTGATCCATTGACCTCTGTTTTGTGCAGACCAAAGTGCTGTGCTGAACTAAGTGCTACACTATTATGGGAGCCACCTCTAGAATCCGTACGAGCCACCTCTTGAATCCGTACCTCTGTTCTGACTGTCACTTCTGTGACCTCTGTTCTGTTTTGTACCGTGGTTATGGCTATTTACTTACATAATCTATATATTTCAGTTCTGCTATTCAAATGATTTTTGCTACTCAAAGGATTTATTTATATAAATATTTTGGCCTAATTAACTATCCATGGTTATTTCGTGTCCCTTATACTCTTGGAATAATATTTCTCACTCTGTCATGTGCTTAGAGTTGTTTATCAATTTTCAGGAAACATGCAATTCTGAAATAGCTTCTGGAAAGTCTTAGATGCGAGGCTGCGGAATAGACATACATAGCACCTTTTTATATGTAAATATCGGCCTTTTTGATCAATACTTTTTGTAATAAAAATAGAAGTTCCAATGGTTATTTTGATACCCTTACTTAAATATTACTTCCGCTCGCGTTATTTGATTTGTTTATGAATTGGCCGTAGGTAACCTCAGTTACTGGCCATCACGATGCTTAACCATTGGGTACGAGGAGCGGGTCGTGACAAATGGTATCAGAGCAATAGTTTATAAAAATAAAAAATAAAATCATCATTGGAGCATAGGACGCGCACATTTAAGAACTGGGATAACGGGTAATTAGTACCGAATTATTATATTTTGTTCGTCGATTTAATTATATTACAATTTTATATGATTATATATATAATAATAATTTTTTTTAATGTGCCTAATTTGTGAAGGATATTTGATATAATTTATATTTGTTATAGTAGAAAAAATGACAAAAAAGAAGGATGTCGGGCTCAAACACCCACCAAAATTATAATATAATTAAATACAGATAATTTTCAGTTCAGCATTCAAAAAAAAATTTATTTTGATGTTTTTTTTAAAAAAGTGGGTTTAACTTATAAAGATACTAATTTTGAAACTATTTCCCATCAATGAAAAGTTCATCTCAAAATTTTCAATTCTTGAATATAATTCTGTCATTGTGTTCTCATTTTTATTTATTTTTATCGTAAATAAACGAGTGAAAAGTTTTTAAAGTCGCTCCTTATTTCTCATTTTGGCTCAAATTAATTTTTGACAACTAGACCGTGAGTTATTTTTGATAAATTTTTTTTTGAGATACTATTTTCTATCAGATTAATCATCTAATATATATTTATCAGAGTGCGCAGCGGATAACTTACACCTATGGCAAATTTCGAGGACGAAATTTTAAAAGGGAGGAAGATTGTAACAACCCAGATTTTTAATTATTCTATGAAATTTATACTAATATTATTTATTCTCAGTTCGGAAAATATATAATTTATTATATATTACTATGTGTAATTTTATAAAATAATATAATTATTAAAAGTTTAGGGATCAAAATATAAATAATAATAATAATAATGGACATAATAATAAAATAAATAATTAATTTTTTGTTAATATGTGATAATGTATAATTTAATTAAAAATTAATTAATTTATATAATTATATTAAAATATTAAGTCAAAAGATAATTATCTTAAATATCTGATGATAGGAATGAATCTATGAAATTATAATCGAATCGGTGAAATGATGAGAGGATCGGCCACGTGTGCGTTAGTCAGAGAGTGGGTTCTCCTCTCTATTTAAGGGGGACGTTTCACCTGGAGAGAAATGAGAGAAATAAAGAAACGAAAAGAGGAAAGAGAAAAGAAAGAAGAAAAGAGA